TTATTATAATGAAAGAAGACTTTCATGTCTGTAGTATGGTGAGAGAAACAACATTTTTTATTTCTTTTTTCAATTGTTGTTTTAGAAAGCTTTACTTTATGTTAAGAAATCACGTATAAAAGCATCTATTTCAGAAACACAAATCTTTAACACCTGTCTCTATTATTTGAGTCAATCTTGTGCAGAATTAGGTTGTAGATATCAGTGTACATCACTTGAATGAGTCTTCCCTATATCCTCATTTGCTTATTTTACTTTGTTGTCAGTTGTTTCATTTAGATAACAGGGTCTGAATGTTAGAGAAGATTTGTGCAACTGCTAACACTTCGTTTCAGCAAACACAACAGGCTGTAGAAAAGCCAGAAAGAATACAAAGAACAAAAAGTTATAGCAGGATTAGAGATGAACTCATCAGTGATTTGATAGTACTAAGTGGCTATATAATTGCCTTTGATGTGTTAAAGGAAACAGTGTAAATGGAAGCAAACTATCTGTTCATAAGGCAGTTGTGCAACAGCAATACTCTGAAGCTGAAGAAAGAAATGTTTAAGATAGATTTTTAGAAGATATCAGCAGAAAAAGAAGCGTAGTGGTAGAGGTACTATTTAGCTTGTAATCAAACATGGCTGGCACCAGTAGAAGTGGTTCCAGCAAATGCAAACAGGCCATGGATGGTCCAGATAGTCATTTGCTGGTTTTTGTTTGCTGTTATTTGCTTGTTGCTTGTTGTTTCTTGTTGTTACTTGTTTTTCTTGATGCCTCTAATTTAGTGCAGGCATCTCCCTCTTCCCTCTACAGTTATTCATGTTGTATAAGTCTGTGGTGGCTAAGATTTTGTTGATTTATGGGATGGGGTAAAGACACTGAGTCACGGATTTGTTGTGCAGAAAAAGGAGATTGTATTCCTGGAAATGTGAACAGGGCTTGTTTTTGGGGGGCTTATTTTGGGTAAATCAAAAATTTATGGTTGCTGGAATGGGAACTCCATCCTGTTTTTTTGTTTCTTTTCTTTCATTTCCTTTTTTTTTTTTTTTCTTTTCCTTTTTTTTTTTTTTTTTTTTTTTTTGTAGCTGGGGACATGATCTGGAAGGGTGGGAGAATAGCAAGGATGGGAGGCTGTCAAAGAAAGTTAAGGAGAGAGAATTAGAGGGAGCTGAACAGGGCAGTGCTGTAACACGTGAGTTATAGGTTATTCTGTGAGATGCCTTCTCTATTAAGAAGGAGGGAGGCGTGCAATTAGCTCCAGCGTCTCCTGCATTTGTGTTCTTGTGTAATTATGGGAAGTGCATTCAGTGTGCAAAGGTATCATTGCTGTCCTGCTGTTTTATCATTTCTTTATGAGATAATGTTGATTTCAGCAATGAAATGCAAATTTAGTTTACAGTGCTCCTTTCCTCTGTATAAAGGTTAAAATGTGTATTGTAGATAATACTGTTGGTGATGCTTCTGAAACGGTCTTCTGTCATCTAATTTCAGAAATATGAGAATTTAAATGCTGTTCATTGCAATTTAACCCAATATGCATGTTGTTAGCATTTTGGCTATAATTTGGCCAGCTTATTATTAAAAACCTACAAAAAATTATTACCTACAAAAAATGAATACATAGCGAGTCTTCAGGCAAAATGAACGTTCAATTATTGAAGTGAAGCCAACTTAACTCTTTAATCCCAAAATTCTCCTGACACAGTGGTTAATTCCTGAGGGTGAAGAAGCTAATGGCTTCTGTGTTAAGAGGGTATATTTTGGTTTACTTGTGAACAAGGTGCTTCTATTGCTGATGATAAAAGGGCCCCAAATTCTAACAAGCCCTATTACAATTGACTGGAGTGTAGGTTATAGGTGGTTCCGTTTACTAAATGCTGGAGCTTCAACAGGAACAAAATATGTGCAAAAAGGGAATAGTTTTCAGCTATCAAGAGAGTCAAATGTAACAGCAAGACCAGTACTGAAGGAGGTTGTCTTTTTTATTGTTATCTCTTTATCTTGCTTTCCTGTGTAAACTGCTCGTTATTGTGCAAAGAAAGGGTGTGTGTTGACTTTGGTGACATGGTGTTACTCCTTTAAATGACACTGTATGCTGTTTACTTCAATGTGACTGTATGTTTTGGGATTATTTTTTTCCAAAACGGCAGAAGCCAGATAATGTTTCGTAACTGTTAACAAATCCCATTTCTGCTTTAGGTGGTACAGCAACAAATGTGCTCTTGTGGAAGATAAAGAGCCTGTATAAAAAAGGAGTGTGAGCTTTAAAATATATTTATTATTTAAGAGAAGAAAGGTGGTGGAGAGGATGTTATGAAGTGAGATGCACTATAGACACAAATGGAAAATAGATCTGAAAATGCTGACTTGGAGTAATGAATGAATAACACCTAAAGTTTATCAGAACCAAAAGAACTCCTGACGTGAAATGAAGCTTCCTAAGAAAATTCTGTTCTGTTGCTGTTTTGCTTTGCTGTTGTCGCATGTCATGCATGAATGGAAATGCTGCATTCTCTGGGGAGCAGTAATGCTTCTGTGTAGGTTGTTTATTTCCTTAATCCCTCCTTCTCCGTGATTTCCAATGTCAGATATAAAATGGAAAGCCTGTAAATACAGTGATTATCATACTGATTATCACCTGCATCAGGGAACGCCCTGGCTGGCCGCCGTAACCCCAGCAGTCTCCACATGTTACAGCCACTTCGATTTTAACCTGACTACTCTATTAGGTACGTGAGGCTCAGTATGAGGTGCCCTAAGGCTGCACAGATGGGGTCCGCTTGTTTCCTGTTCTCACTGTTACTGTGAATAGATACTAAAAGCTCCTCATTGCTTTTATCTGGTTAATTTACTTTGAACTGGCCCTGCATTCAGGGCCTGCGGAACATTTCTCACCATTTTGCAAACACCAAACCGTAGCCTCTAAAGATGTGCTTTGAGCTTTTCTCTCCTTTTTTTCTAGAAGGGCCTTAATTCTCATTGCCTGTAATCCTGGGAGACTGATTCTCAGGGAGCAGCAGGCTCCTTACTGGAGGAAGCTGCTCAGGAGGTGTTGTGAGGTTTGGTTGACAGGAGAGAAGAAAATTAAGATTGCTGCTGTTCTTTGGCACGTACAGACACCTTACATTAGGGGTCAACCTGTGATTGTGTGCTGGCTACCATTGCTCATGTCGCTGGGCAACAGACCAGGCTAAAAGACGAAGCTCCAGCAGGAAAATCCTAAGATAAGATGCTTTTTGCCAAATGTGCAATCCGTTTGTACTTTCTTGTGGAAGAGCCAGGTCTTTCAAACCACATCTGCTATGCATGGGTGCCCCAGAACAGAAAATTAAGATGAATTCTCTCAAAGTCTCTCACATAAGGAAGTACTACTTAACTGGAATAGCTTTTATTTCACAGATGTAAGAATGTACTGGTGTCCAGTTTCCTGCCCAAACAATAGTTTAACACAGATGTTAATGTCCCGCTGCCTTGGGCATTAAAGAAATCCCTTAGGACAGATCAGTGCAACCTCCAATTTCACTCACATGACCAAAAACCTGAGGTTACAGAAGTTATTTGGCTGCAGTATGTAATCGTTAGTTTATTTTCTTATTCTCTATCCTCCTTATCACTCTCTTATTCCTCTTATTTTATTTTTTTGTGGGATTTTTTTCTGTGTCCAAGTCTCATTTGAGGCTTTCTTGATTGTGCTGTGGTTCATTGTAAGTGCATCACTGTATAGTGGGAGCTCACAGGCTCCTTTTTTCATATGAGCATAGGCTTTGTTAATCACATGCTGCTTTAGGAAAACACTGCATGATATCTTTGAACCCTACACTCCTTCTTGACAGCCAGGCTAGCAAATGTCATTGACTGTGTGATGTACAAGAAGGAATTCAATTGTAAGTAAATTGTCAAAGTGGCTAACCTTGCCCGCACCCAATTGTCAGGACCATGATTCAGTTTTTCTGTCAACATCAGCTAAGGCTAACCCGGTCAGCCTTATGTTTCTGCAGTGAAGCAGCCTGAGGAGTTGTGCTTTTCAGCTGATCGCATTTTATTAACCTCAAGTTACTGTTGTTATAATCAATTGTACCCACTTCGGATTCGTAGATTGCCCCCAAATTGGCAAATCATATAGATCCACAAGTATGTATTTTCTGCAGTATTAAAGCTGTCACAGGGACACTGGCCTTAAATGGTGCGGTACGGTAGTTATTTTTGTTTAGTTGGATCAGCTCTCTGTTCAGGCTCAAGTCTTATCCTTCTATTAATGTCACTTGGCAAAGATAATCTGGAAGATTGCAAGTTAAAATGTAAAGACTTTGAGCACTGTCAACTGTATTTGCAATGCTGAGGTAGAAAGTGAACAAGGGAAAAACACTGCTGTTGTCTCCTGTCTCCTTGCTTTTATTTCAAAAGAGATTTTAATTGCTCCAATTAATATAAATAAGAAATGAGGACATTCTGATACCCTAATGTTTCCTCTGTTCTTTGAGGAAAAGAACATAGTTAAATTGCCTAAAGCAGTGATTAAGACATCAGAGTGTTTTAAAATGCTCATCTGATTCCACCACAAGGGTTTGAACACATTTTGTACTCCTATTTTTTTTATGCATTGTAGATGACAAATGATTTTTTTAAAATGGCTTTAAAACCCATATCCCATGAAGTGCATCAGTGGAGATAACGCTGTAATTCCAATTCAAAATATGACTGAAGGATATTTGCCTGGATTTGAAATTGTGATTTCCTACTTAAAGTCCTGTGTCCAGAAGTAACTTTCCTCACCTGGAAAATACCATATATTGTACCTTCTTTATTTGAACTTGAGCAGCGTGCTGACATTGTGCTGCTGTTGGGCTGCGGGAAGGAGGAGGAAGCTTTGGGTGCAACTATCAGAATAGAACAACTGTATGTGGGGATATTGAGATAATCGTGTAAAAGGAAAACTGGCTGAATGAGTTTCAAAATGTGTTATTTCTTCATTATCTAGCACTTTATAATTAACTGTTCTTTTTTTATTATTTCAGGAAGCTGCCACTTTTGCTAGAGAGCAAGGCTTTGAGGTGAGTTAACCCACAATTGCACACTAAACAGATCCTAAAGGCTTTTTTCGTGCTGATAATGAAGTTCTTTTGGACAATGATTGATGTGCTATTATACTCTCCAAGCCTCGCAGCGGTTGCCATGGAAACTTGGCAGTCGTCATGGTTTCTTTGTTCTGCCAGCTCAGTGTTATGACGCACTCTGCTAGGTCTGCACCCAACATCGCCTACAGATGTTATTTATTGAATTTTGAAAAGCCTCTTGGGAAGCCGAGAGGTTGGGCACGGTTTCAAGCTGCCTCTGCAGATATGGGACCTGTCAGTTTGTTCAGTTAAAAAGCTACCTCATTAGCTGCATTACACTCCACAAGGATTCACTGCTACAGCAGTGGTGAGGGAAGACTAAATAGAGAAATATAACACCGCTTAAAGATCTTAAACCCTGCCATATGCGGATTATCATTATGCAAATGAATTGTAGAAAGGTTGTATATAAAATTGGTAGGTACTGATTAATGTAAACCGCGCTGCTTTTCGAAGGGGTGGTGTGGAATTTCTGTTTCAAAACAGATTCAAGTTGGTGCTTTCCATCTGTGCTCTAAAAATGCTCGATTCCCTACTTTCTAGAAGTAAACACTGTTGATTTTACAGCGATTCTCAGAGCTTTTGATTTCATTTTTCTGAGGTATTTATTTGAGTGCCTAAGCCTTTTTGTTGCCCCTCCCATTGGCTGCATTCAGATAACTCAATCTGGAGAGCTATCAGCTATTGGTCTCTAATGCTGAATTCAAATAGGCAGGTTTTAAATACTATAATTAATGTGACAACAGTTGTACTAATTTCACAGATAGTAAGCGATCTCACTGAAATCTAAATTGCAGAACCGAATGCACATAAATCCTGTTACATGTTTTTTTCAGTGGAATAAGACCCACCTTAATTGATTTGTTTGCAGTGGGGAAGAATAGATAGGAGTTTGACTGCTCAACACCCATTCTGCATAAATAATAGAAGCCGCGCGATTCAAACTGCAGCACTTTAAGAACGTGCCACTTTGTGTGTGGATGGCTGCGTAGGGAAAAAAAAAAGAAAGAAAGACTGGCAGCTTTTGTTCTGCAATTTAGATCTCTTTAGAGCCCTGCACCAGCAGGTACATCAATGCCATCAGTGTTTTAGATATTAAAGCTGTGGGCTGGCCCATTTCATTTTATGTTTGCTAAATTCATGCGGCTGCTTTGTAGAAATCCAGACATTTTATCACTGTCAATTTTCATTTGTATAATCTGTATTGTTAGCATAAAAATACACTTTCAATTTATTCTATCAAATGAATGAATTTCACAGATGCCTCCAAATATATTATGAAGCATAACAAATTATTGGTACCCTCTGGTAGCTAGACAATAAAAAGGAAAGGAAGTAGTGTATTAAGTCTACCCATTCTATACTTTTATTGCCCCCTTGAGCTAAAGACTTTGAATATGCCTGGTTTAAATTCAGTTCTAGTGACAAACTGCTGTTGCTGGTGTCTGCTAACTACCATCGTATTAACCTTTCCATTAGTGCTTGCTTAGAGATTCTAGCACAGCTCCTTCTGAACATCCTAAATCTGCCACATTTGATTACAGCATATCAGTAAAGTGCACAATGATTATGATCTTATCTCTTATTACCCCCTTGCTTGGCAACAACTCTCACGTCAAGTTTCCTGACAAAGATTTGATAAGTGTCCGCTGTGTTGTTTTCCCATTGTGCTGTGAAGGCAAAAAAATGAAAATCACATTGCTAAGAAAGTATTTCAGGAAAAACTTAAAGCTTCAATTAATTTTCTTAGTTAAAGGGAAAAATTCCATCAGGTCTCAAAATCTTGTAAAATGGATTCTGTAATTTATATAGAGAAAGCATAAAAAGGTAAAATAAAGAATTGGAGTGACTAGAGCAAAAATCAGGAGGATATTTGCTATAAAAGTAATGAGAAGTTGCTGTTATCTGAATCTGAATTAAAGATGGAAATAATTTCATTTTATTTAAAAAAAAATTAAAATCAATTCCTCAGAAATCTTTGTCACTGAAGAACAGTTGTGCCTTTTTTTTTTCCTTAATATTATCTCCATTTCTGTCTTGCAGTTAATTCCACAGTTTATGTGACTAAATGCATCTTATAAATGTGGATTAAGTAAAATGGAATTAAAGGAGCAGATGTATCTAAGCTGCCATGGAAATAATTTTTCCTGTTAAAGATGATGTTCTGTGCCCCACTGAGTGGCTCCCACCTTTTCGTTCCCTACATCTCAGTGATGCAGAGAGCTAGTGAGCACACAGCATGTCCACCTGGGCTCCACACCTTTGAAGGTGCTGCAGGGTGCAGTGGTTTTACATGTTGAGATCAATTGCTGTAGGGGATTTCAAGAAACAATGTTTGTTATCCTTCTGAAATCAGAGGGATTATAGTACTATCAAACCTGACTAGATGGAATGAAAATCAAGCTCAGAGTTTATCTGAAGTATTCTCTTGCAAATTTTATTTTTAATTTTATGGTAGGTACGGTTAGAATCCAGTCAGCAGCAAAAAAAACCCAAGCCCACTAATTGCTCGTTAGGAAATGCTCTGTAATTCCTTTGTTAGCTTAGCAGTTTTGTAGCAATTGGAATAGCTGAACTATCATTATCAAGATTAAAAGCAATGGTCTCATAGTACTACATAAACCCTTAGGAGAATGAAGTATTCTTCCGTTTAAAAATCTTCCTCTACTGACAATGTAGTCTATTTTTCTAGCCTTAAGAAAATAAATATTTTGATCTGCTATTAAAGTTCCAATCTTTCACTGCTCTAATATGCTGGTTACAAGAATTTTCTTTCTCCCTGTTAATAGACTGAAGACATTAAAGAGATAGCCCGGAAGACACAAGCCCTGCCAAAGGTGAACACTAAAAGGCAACGAATTGTAATCTTTACCCAGGGGAAAGAGGACACTGTAATGGCTACAGGTATATTTTTCATATCTTTGTTGTCACTCAGTAAATATTCTAGTTAAGCAACAACGAATTCTGGTTTTACCTATTATAATTGTTAAATGGTAGGCAGAGCATTTGCCTTTTGATGTTAGTGTTTCTCATCTCTGTTATGCTTCTAATCGTTTTAAGATTCTGAATTTGAGAAGTTAATATTTCACAGGAATGCCTGAGAATTTAGTTCTGAACATGTGAAGTACTTCTATATAACACAGATCTAAAATATTGATCCAGTTGGTTTTGCTCAGATTTTATGACTTGAGATTTTATCTGTGTAGCCATCTTTGCTGCAAACAAGAACACACTATGCCTGCTGAGAACAGCTGTGCAACAGTAGAGTATATTTAAACATTTGTGAAAAGGAGGAAGTGAAATCCAGTACTAAGTGAATTTCCAGGCTTTTTTGCTTTGAGCAGAAAGCTCACTTCAAGCTTTTCTCAGCTGTCTGCTCTTCTATTCTCAAAGGAATATGTGAGAAAAAGGTGTTCTAGCAGGGATACAAGTAGTTTGTGCTGTCGAAATTGATGATGTACGACGCACAGATTTAAGCATTATAAACACGACTGCCTACCTTTTGACAGTCTCTTTAATTTTGTCCACCTATGCTTCTAGACTAAATAAAGCTATTAAAAACATGTGCTGTGGTGAGCCATTGTAGTCATTCATTCCTGCACAAGGTAAGTTATTAGTCAAGGTTGAATTCCTCCTTTGGAAATCAAGTGAAGTTGAGGAAGCTTTTCACCTGAGGGACCAGTGCTTACTCATACAATATTTGCCTCAAAATCAGAACTTACTTCAGCCTGTGGCTGCAAGGCTAGGCACTAAGGCACTAAGTAGGTATGTCACCGGTGTATAGATCATTCTTAGCAGCAGTTAGAGTGATTTTTCCAATAGTTTGCTCCTTCCTGTATTTTGTTAGCTACAAACTGATTTAAAGAAAATAGAAAGCAGTCACTGAGAGTTGTGTGTGTGTATCTCGCTGAATAATGATGAAAGCATTGCTTCCAGAATGTTACTGCATTATGTGAATGGCCCATATGGAGGCACTCCACTGGAGTATTGTACAGTTGGCTGAAAAATAGCAGTGTAAAAATGTTTTTATACATGAGATAGTAATAGTGGTAGTAAACCTAAATCTTACATGTAACCCTCCTGTGCTCTTATTTAATTTTCACTATGTACTTATTTTATTCTTCAAACTGTAGTTGTTAACAAATCCATTAATCCCTTCTTTGATATTTTTACAACTGGGGGCTTATTTGAGGACTGACACTTGCTAATCTTAGCTGTTTGTTTGCTATTAAGTGAACTTAAATTAGAAAATGCACTTTATATGCATGATAAATGCAAGATGGATAGGGAGTGTATGCAATGGTGTCAGCTACAAAAGCAAACATGATAAATGTTAAGGCAGTTTTGAGCCGTGGGATAAGCTATTTGGTGCACGAGCATAGCTGAATCTCTTTGCTATGTTGTTATTCATGGCAGCCAAATAAATGTCAATAATAAAAGAGAATTAAAGATTTTCATTTCCCAGAGGCAGTCCTCTAATACAGCTTGATCTTTCATTTCATTTGTAATTCGTTCTCATGTCAGGATGCAATCATTCGCCAGGCTCTGTGTGTCATGTTAAGTCATTTAATAATGATTAAGAACATAAAAATGTTTGGCCTGTGGGGCAATTCTCAAAAGAGATACCAATTTGTTATTGTTTTCCCCCTTCTTCCATCCTTTGGTATGGATCATCTTTTTCCCACCTCTTCACATTAAAATAATAATGAAAGGAGGAAAATGTGTCCCTTAATTTAGCATATGATGATACCACACAATGGCACGGAATACTGTTAATGCTTAATTCAGCACCAATTAGGTCTTGTTGTGCTTTCCTGCATTGGAAAGTGTAAAATGTTTCTAAATGGTCTTTGAAAGACCTGCTGTACTTCAGAGTAGTTGCCAGTATAAAATTCATTTCCCCTTTCTAATACACAGAAGAGTAAGTTTTTGAAAATGCAAGTTTTGCATGGTTGTTTATCCTGCCTTTCTGAGGAAAATATGTATTCTTAAAGAGTTTGTGCCTTGTGCCTAGGTTGAACAAGTATTTGCAAAGTAGTAAGTGAGCTATACGTTTGGACTTACTGGACGTTCTGCTTTGTATTTCTTCCAAATCAATAGTAATAATAAGAATGTGGGTCTAGGATGTTTATTAGTTGAAAGACTTCTGTCAGTAGTAACTTAACCAGAGGGGGATCAGTATGCATTTCTATTTCTATTTCTTTCTCTCCTTCCACTACTGCCATTAACCATCCTTCATCAGCTGTTGGGTAGATCCCATGTTCCAGTGTTTATAGTTTATGACATCTGAATGAAGCTGGAGCTTCAAATTGTACAATTCTCCAAGGTGAATTTGGCCTTTGTGTTTTTTCTACCCCTTTTTTTTTTTTTTTCTCCTTTTCTGTTTTCCCTGTGGAAAGCAACACAGAGCCTGCCTTCACTGTAGCCCAACAAGTAGAAGCAGGTGCCTTGAACTGGGCTGTTCTATGAAGAGACATATGGACAGCCACCTCTCAGGTCTTGCCCATCTCAGCCCAGGCATTACACAGTGAGAAAGACAGCGTTGTAGCTGTAAGAGCATCCCTACCAGATATCTATTTCCTCAGTTAAATACAGCCTCTGCCTATTGTCCTGGACAAGGCTGCCATGGGGCTAAGCTGAGAAGGACTGGATTAACAGAGTAGGAGTGCACCTCTTTGGTGGGTTACATACAATTTGAGTGATAACCAGAGAATGGAAATAATGAGGGGATCCACTTCAGTACAGCTTTGGTTGGAAGGAGAGGAAATGAGATAGATAAAAAGGATTGTTGCAGGTTCCCAGAAAACAGAAGTATCAGTAAGTACTTGAGGAGTAGAGCATAGAGCAGGAAGGTGCAGATCGTTACCAAAATAAAAGAAAGGTTGACCAAGAAGTTCAGAGCATAGGATCTGATAGACTGAGACAGCTAAAAAACCACTTCCTTCAGGGATCTGTCCCAGCCCTAAAGCAAGGATGTTGAATCAGTATGTGAATTGCTGCTGATCACCCAACATTGTTTTAATGCCCACCAAAACCACTGCTGGCTCACCTGTAGGAGACCATGAACTGTGGCGGCTCTGGCACTGATTGACAAGCAACTTAGAGGCCCACACAACTGGAGCAGTTCGTGAAAATGGTGGGAAGTAACTGCATCAGCCATCTCAGTCCAAGCTATTCCCATTTATCAGTCCAAATTCCTAATCTGTCTGAATTATTTGTGTTTTCAGAGAAAAAATGTCTCTATCATGGAGCACATTGGGCCTTTCTGCTGTCTGTTCTTATCTCCTCCATCACAATACTCCAGCCCCAAGGCTCCTTTCCTCTCCCCTTCCTTCCTGTTCTCTGTCAGTAGGAATAATTGCAAGAAGAAGGCAATCTCATATTCAAACTGAGTGTGATCAGTATGTTTTATAGGAAAGGAAAGGAGTGTGTGGGATTGGCACACAAACACTGTGGTAGATTAAATGTTGACTAAATTAACTGTCGGCTTCTAACAAGGCTTCTCAGAGCATGCGATCAATGCCTAAAGTTCTCCTGTTCGTGTCATTTGGGTGTATTTTCCTCTGACATCAAATTTTATCTTTCTACTGAAGAATTTAAAGGCATTGGAGCTTCTTAGTGACTGTAAGAACCACAAGATGACACGAATGCTGTAACTGTCTCTAACATCAGTCCCCAAAATGTCTGAATTTCAACAAAACTCTCCTGAAAAAAAAATAACCTGAGAAGTACACTTCTGATGAAACCTTGCAGTACAGAGGACTATGGTTTGGGAAAGATAGTAGTAACTGAAAATAGGATCAGTGAACTTGCTTACTGAGGAAAGTTTATTTGAGGAACAACATTACAAGGTTAATGCCTTGTATGGATGCTTTTTGGCCATAGAGGGAATTGCTTGGCTATCAGACTCTGGTCCCACTACCACTACCTGGGTCCATCTATTCTGAATTTGACTCCAGGTTCCTGAGTTTGTGGGATACATTCATTTCATGTTTCAACACTCTCCTCTGTAACCAAAGAAAATATATAGGCAAGGAAGGAAGGGAAGGGCTGATGAACATCTCCAATCTCCTGGTTTCAGCAGCTGGGGCTTTTCATAAACACACCAAAAATCACAAACTCTGACAACAACGTATATGTCACATCTATTTGTGTGCTGTATCGTTTGTCAGAATCAAATGCTCTGAAAACTATCCTTTTTTTTACAGACTTGCTCATAACATTTTTAAACAAATTACTTTAAGTCTGATACATTCTGTGACTAGTCTTCGCCCAAAGGGAAATCTTTGGAAAGTCTGAGCAAAATCAGTTTGACAATGGAGAAACAATTTAATATTGAAATATTTGCATAATTCAAAAACAGCTGAAGCTACAAACTTTAGACTTAGCTAGTTTTATAGCTTTAATAGAGGAAAGAAAAACAGTCCAAATGTAAAGAAAATCACTTTAGCATTTTTCAAGTTATGAATGATGAAATCTGGCATGTTCAGGCCTGAACATAGAATGTTCTTTTCTTTTTCCTCCCCAGTGTTTGCAAGACCACCTCTGTTAAGGGCACATTTGTAATAGGCTCATTTGTTAGAAAATGGCAGTAGTAAATAAATGAATTTTTAAGGATTTGAACATTAAAACCAGCTGAATTAGGGCTTATTGAGTTAATGACATTGCTTACATCTTCTTCAGTTTGTCAATGGATGGCATGAGAATATTTCAGGAAATGTATTTGGGCTTTGGAATACAATGTGGTAGAATGAGAAGGGTCTCCCTTAATAATCCTGAAATGCACCTAACATAAAGTATACACTGAAGTAGTTTGGGGAACTTCTAACTTGTTATTTCTACATGTTATTTAATCAGTTCCATAAATTACACAGCATATACTGTATGGCCAAGTTAATACAGAA